CCAATGATGGAAGTTCCTCGGAAGAGTATAGACATCGGCGTCGGATTAGCAAGGCGAGTGTCTCTTTTCCTGTTTACAAGAAGGACAGTGTGCGTACACCCGTATCATCCTTTTACTCCTGAGCAAACCACAAGGAAAATTTATGTATTTCATTATTAAAAATAAAGTAAATAAGCTTCTTTTAAGGAAATTTGCATTTAAATGGGATTGTGGTAAATAATTGTACCTAAGAAAACAATATTTGTTTGCCTACATTTTGTTTACCACATTAAATATTAATTAATTTCATAGGGTTATTTGCATTTTAATACTATGTGCTTTAAAATTGACAAGAACTAATAGAACATTATATAATAACAAATCAATGCCAACCGCCTAGTTATCAGCAGTTTAAAGATAATAATTTATGGATTGTCAAAAACTTTCAATTAGCGATTAATTGTTGGAGAATTATTTACCAAACATTGTTTTATTAATATCACGTTCTATGTCTAACTTTTTGTAAAGGTCTTAATTTAAATATTCACAAAGTTGTGTGTTAATTTTAAGTATTTCATCTTTGTTACTTGTTTTTAAATATTAAGTTTATCATGACTGTTTTATTAGAGAATACGGAAGTCATTAGATCCACCTGAGTACAAATATTTTCAGTTTCAGAACTAAATAAAGAAACAAGTGTTGTGATAGAGTTACATTCTATATGATTAAAATATTGTTACATTACACGATGTTCACGTCGACTGCAGGCAGGGTTGAGGCTTTATAACCTACCGATCATATTTTATAATAACGCATCACTTAATTTATTTTCTATAATTACATATTATGCGATGGTATTCTATTGTTTATTAGTAAATCACACATTAGGTTTCAGATGTGACAGATTTCACTTTTGTTTCTTTTTTTAAAAAAGACAACTCCCGCATTAGGAAAATATCCTGTGTCGCGGGGCACTTTACAAACATACATGAAACGGACACAGAGAACACCCAGACTTAGAACAACCATTTGTGGATCACAAAAAGTGTGGGGTTTGAACCCACAACACTCGGCGTAGCAGGAAGCGGTGTGGCGACTGCTTAAACCACTACGCCATCCGTGCAGTCGTGCATTTCACTATCAACGAAATTTTAACTTGTGTGATATTTGATGCATATTATTTGAAGGGGCCTTATTCTATTTCTTTTCCAACCTTTTTAGCTTTTATTGACTAAGTTTTTCGGTAATGAATCTGAAATAGCAAGAAAATAGTAACAGATGGTCCGTAATTATAATTAAAATCTGACATTAGACTATAAGACCAATTGTGAAACTTTGAAATACAGCAAAATATGAGTCCAACTTTAATAATTAAAAAGTATATTTTATTTTGGTACCAAGAAGTACAAAGAAGAGAAAATCAAGATCAAGTTAACAATTATTACTTATAAGGTAAGGTAAGGTTATAAGGAAAGGACATTTTAATACTACGACTATAAAAACGGGAATTATATCTTATCTCATGAACTAAAAACTACTACATTATGATCTGGTTCGGATACAGATGTTACTCTAGTAATGTGACTAGGTAGGAATTACAAAACGAATACTTTGTGAAAATGTAAATACCTACATAGTACGAAAAATATATTTATAATATATTTTATGATATTTTTGTATAAGTGTATGCTCAACGCTCAACGCTCAACGACTGATGACGAGGAACCCTAATGGACTGATACTAGCCGACGACGTGTAATATAAGCATATGATGGGTATAGTCGGGGTGTCAGAGGTTTTCATTTCGATTCTGGGCGGAATTTAATGGAATCTGGCTTAAACTGAAGGTCATTGCCCACTTTTACAAAAGCAATTTGGCGACCTATTGTAACAGAGTAATCCAAGTGCAAACAAAAGTAAATAAAATTAAATTTAACTTATCCATGTTGTATTCTTAGCTGTATTTGTGGTATACAACATGTACGTGGAACATAATTCTATAAAAACAGGCTAAATGAATAGCCACAAGTATTACTAATTAAAAACAATTAACGATGTTTAGTATTTATTGATGATCACAAATTCATTTGTAATCTGAATTGATTATTCTCTCTGTGGCTTTGTAGACAGCCCAACCCTAAACGTCAACTATCAAAATGCACCTTTTAAATTTTTTAGACCATAAATCTAATTACTACTAATTTCATTATTCTTTTTATTTTTTAATAAAGTCAGAATATTGAAAAGTTACTTTTTTTATTTCGCTAAACCGTTTTCTTACCTTTTTAACGGTTGCGTGCCTCTAAGTTTGGACCTCATCTACACATATGACACTTTGGACTTGTACCGTTTGAACCTTCAAACTTAGAGTTTGCCTATACTTTAGTGCCTATTAGAGCCTCTATCAAACAACGTGTTCCATTATACCTCAGTTATACATCTTCGTACGAAAAGCTACAATCGTGCACAAAAGTCAAACACTTTGTCACAATAAAATTGATCAACATTTTTATTAAAATTATAAAACAACAACTTTTATGACGAATGACACCTACTCTAATTTTTCTAATTTCAGTTTTAAGCTGCTAAATATAAAATATGCATGTTAATATGACGACCGGATGGCGTAGTGGTTTGTGTAAAGGACTGCTACTCCAAAGGTCGCGGGTTCAATTCCCGCTCAAGTCAAACATCAATGTGCATGAACATTTAATGTTTGATTTGGTCTAGGTGTTTTTATGTACAATATGTATGTATTTACAACAAAATAAAAGTATATATGTATTTATATCAGTTGTCGAGTAACCCATAGTGCAAGCTCTGCTTAGTTTGGGACTAGATGGCGTTGTGTGAATGTGGTACAATTATAATTTCATCATCTCAGCCCAAAATGTCCACATAGGCCCACCCCACGGCACCGCGCGATCTCTAATTCACCAGGTTGACGACCTTGCGGAGGGCCTACCTACGCTGCGTTTCACGTGCCGGAAGGTACGTGGTCGCCGCTCGAGAACTTTATGGCCCCCGTAATGTGCCCCGCTTACTGCCATTTTACTTTGGCAATTCGCCGGGCAATGTCGGTGACCTTGGTTCGTCTGTGTATCTCCTTATACTTGATTCGATCACGCAGGGAAATTCCGAGTATTGAACTCTCCATTGCTCTTTGGGTGACTTTGAGCCTCCTTATGGGTCCCATTGGGAGCGACAGCGTCTGTGTACCATAAGTCATAATTTATCCAAGTTAACTAGTCATCTTATCTTATCGTTAAATACTTTCTCAACATTTGTCGCGCGCCGGTCAAGTTACATCATCATCAACAGCCTTTAATAGTTCACTGCTGGACATAGGCCTCTCCTTAGAAAGGAGGTTTTTTCCTACCACGCTGGCCAGACGGTTTGGTGTAGGGTTTGTTTCAAGTTTTCAGGTCACATAGGTCCCTATCAAATATTTTATATGCCAATATTTACCTGTTATAAATGAGACAAGCTGAAATTCATTTTTTCAGAATATGTTCAATAACTTGGACTAGGAATATTTATCGAAATAATCAGATAAAACACTTCAGGTGGCTGGCCGACAAAACAAGGTCAGGATTTTGAATAGTGTTTGCATATGGTATGTAATGAGCTCGTACATTTCATTACACTCACAATTTATACTACATCCTGCAGCAGAATAATATTCGTCGTATAATAAATTCTGGCGGGCCTGTTGGCTGGGTAGTGATCCTGACTGCTAAGCCAGAGGTTCGATTCCCACTCAGGACAAAAAATTGTGTGATGAGTACAATCTTACGGATCATTCATCCTGAGTGGTGCAATGGTAGCGTATGTGACTGCTGTGCTGCGGCTCGTTTTCGATTCCCGGTTCAGACCAAGTGTTTGTATGATCTGTACATATTTGTTTCGGAGTTTGGGTGTTTTCTATGTATAATATCTATGTATTTACAAAAAAAAGTATTCTATCGGCCAATCTAGCTTTCATAGTTCTGCTTACTTTAAAACTAGATGGCGTTGTGTGTTAGGTGTCCTAAATATTTTTATGTTATTATTATTTGTTCTGTGTCTGGATGTAATGTATCTAGAATATGTATGTATTTAGAAATATTTAAGTGTGATTATTTTATCAGCAGTCTGGTTACCATAGCTCAGGCTCTGCCTAGTTTAGGATCAGTCGGCCGTGTGTGAGATGTGTGAGGTTCACATCACATCATCACATCAACAGCCTTTACTAGTCCACTGTTGGACATAGGCCTCTCCTTAAAAAGGATATTTTGGCCTACTATACCACGCTGGCCAGTCGGGTTGGTATAGGGTTGGTGTCAAGTTTTCCTTCTTTTTGCAGTGCTGGTGTCCTGCGTTGTTTTGCGCCCTTAGTCGGCTCTTACGTCACCCACGGGATGAATTGGGGTAGTGACATTTCGTATTCTTAATCCATCACCACACGGATGTGTGAGGTTATTATTATTTTAATTAAAGATTACGATTTCGTCTTATAACATGTTCTATACATCCACTACATTATCTGTACTAATACCTACACGTCCTACATATTATATATATTATGTGTGTGCACCTGAATAATAAGTTTAATAATGTTATTCTGTTATAATCCACCATCAATTTATAAAATCTCTGAAGGGCCTTATATACGTGTCATCTACAATTATAAGTTACGTAGCCTTTTCTTTGTTAGGATCCACAGCGAATAATCCTGACCAAACACAAATTATTTGCCTGTCGATAACATGAAAACATAATTTATTTCTCACTTTGCTTTATATTGTATAGTTAGTAATAAACAAACATCACTTACGTAATTACTAATATTAAACGTAAATACTGAGTTATAAATTTAAAAATTTGTAGCAGTAATTTGCAAACTAACCTGCACATAATGTATAAAAGGAATGGATCTAGTTTTATCCCCATCATTTCCTCCACCGGTATACAAGTATATACTATAGTATAGTACTTTAAATCAAATTTAGACACTTAGATATTATCTGTCTTCATTCGAAATGGCAAGACTAGCTTTACTTATATTTTTATGTTTTATTTCTACAAGCCTTGCAAAAACGTTTTCTAAGTGTGAATTGGTTTATGAATTAAGAAGGCAAGGTTTCCCAGAGCATCTGATGAAGGATTGTAAGTATTTTACTTCTTAATTATGAACACTCTATCAGGTTTCACACTACTATTTAATATCTATAATCTTTTTATTTTAAATAAAGGTATGTCGATTTATGACACGTTAAAGTTGGAACAACCTTCGTCTTTTTACATCTTGTTTTAAATAGTTATACTAAAATGTGCCAGAAATATACGAGTATTATGTATTTTGTAATTAAAACATTACATTTACCAATATTCTTTTTATCTTGAGTTAGTTAACCATTTATTTTAGGACCAAGATCTATATGTACTAATCTATTCACTTTTAATTTTAGTGGTATGTCTGATTGGAGAATCCAGTTCTTACAGAACCCATGTAATTGGCGGTCCGGACCCAGATGGTTCATATAATTACGGCCTCTTTCAAATAAACAACTTTTACTGGTGTAGCTCAGGTCCTTATCCTGGCAATACCTGTAATGTTCGCTGCGAGGGTAAGACTTTTTTATTTAACTCAAAAATAGTACATTTCACGTTTGAATCTTGACTGCACGTGTTAAGACATTTAAAAAAAAAATTAAGACTCACTGTGTGAATTTTTGTAATTACACTTGCAATGCTTCTTGTATTTAAAATTCCTTACTTATCCTTAATACATACAATATTAAGATGCAATGTATCAGATTCATTCCAAAACATGCATTTTTATTGTAGAAATATGTCATGACAAGGACATACATTTTTACCAACGTTTTGTATAGTAATATTATATTTAGTTTTATCTGTACTTTTGATTTTTCAGATCTACGGTCAGACGATATTACAGTAGCATCAAACTGTGCGAAGATCATATTAAATACGCGAGGTTTGCAAGCATGGGTTGCTTGGGATAAATTCTGTAAGCCGTATCGCCTACCTGAACTCGGATGCTGAAATATTACATGTTATTTTATTACTCTTTCAATAAAGGTTATATTGACGGATCACATTCATAATTATTGCAAATTCTCAGATACCAAGTATTGTTTGTATTACAAATAGGAAATTTAACTGCTTCATCTGACTTTTTCTCTTCTACTTGTTAGTGTCATAAATTATACTATGAACTATATTGTAAACTAAATTAAAAAAGATAATCAGTAATTTCATGCTTGTAACACACTTTAAAACACAGTGTAGAAACATGGTAGATAGTTAAAGCTCAAAAATTGTAGATAGTTTCCCTACATGTTTGATACATTTTTCTTGGAATCCACGTTAGCGACTTAAACGTAATTTTTTCCTGGAAATGATCATTACAATCATTAAAAATACAGAGGCTTTATATTTAAACTATTACTAGTATTCCCGTTAACAACTTCAGCTAACCTAACTTGCTTGTGTTATGAGTGGGTTCACGTCGGTAGTGGCTTTTAAGATAACAATATTATCTGATTACATTAAAACTAAGTCATTAAAAATAAAACTAATAATAAATATTTAAGAGGACACTAATTATATTACTAAAGGTATCAACTATGAGAGAACTGGATCAAATAAAGAAATGTTGTGTAACACCCCCTTAATATCCAGATAAGCGATCACAAAACGTCACGTAAATGACTCATTTTAATGTGAGTTCCATCTTGGCGTGCGTTTGTTCTCTTGGATTAGAAATGTATTCAAAATAAAGAAATAATTATGGTGGTGATGTACCTATGGAGAAATAAGTTACTGAACCGATTTTGAACACCTACAAGAACTTCAGTTTGGCTAAGTTATATAAATATATTAGTGTTTATTCTTTTGACATATTTTTAACCCTCAACCAGTGAACATATAACGGCTCACTGCTTTCAAGTAATGTTTAAAATTTTGATACATCTATAGATTTATAAGAAGTATTATAAAAATGAAGTTTCTTTTACATTTTAACACAAAACATTTATTTTATATATTTATGTATATTTTTTTGAAGAAAAAATATTTATTTATACTGAATGCAATTCTATTAAATTACATAATGTCACGTGTATCGGACACACACAAATCTACATTGTCCAACATAAAATCATATTTAAATTAAATACATACATCACATACATTTAAATTACAATTTTTTTTTTTAATTCAAGTCAGATCATACAACCCGCCCCGCGTCGCTCCCGGTGCGAAGGTGCCCATGATACTGGCAGCATTGCCTCGCTGAATTGCAACGGACATCCTTTGCACCAGAAACGAGTATATATAAATACCTTTTTAATAAACTAAAAACTAAATATTTTCATTTGGTTTATTTGTGTTTAATATATTTAACTTCTAAGTGTACATAAATATACAAATAGAGTTTGAACATATTATTCAAAGCTAAAATGGGGCAAAATATCACGGACTCTGAATTTTTTATATGTTCTTTAAAATTCTTTTGTGATTGCAGCTCTATCATAATGTTCAAGTTTGGTCCGACCAGATCTTCCGATACGTTGTTACTGATAATCCTTTAGCACTGGAAGACACCTTGTGACTCAATCAATCAATATAAACATAACATCTTTTACTTCAAAATTGAATTTATCAAGTTTAAATATGAAAAAGTGACCCAGTTACATAATTACTCGGGAAGCCCAGAGGAGCTGGAAGTTGATTAGAGATTCCATAATATTAGATAACAAGGGGGTTATGACAATAGGCCTGTAGTGGGACGAATCAGAGTGGTCACCTTTTTTAGGGATCGGTTGCACAAACGCTACCTTCCAGGAACTCGGGACGACGACGCCTAGGAATTAGGAGAGTCGAAGAAGGCGCGTTAAAACCGGTGCCAACTCCGGAGCACACGTCTCCAACACGATAGGAAATATTGCATCGGGCCCACTCGACTTATGAATAATTCTTAAGTAATTATTGAGAACAAGACTATTTAACTGTGTGGCTGATTGTACTATAAGTTAAGGAGACTTATTGACATACTTCACTCATTTGAAATAAAATAAAACATGATTTTAACAAAATTGACTGTTATTGTGCAAAAATTGCAAATACCTGGTATCGATACCCGGGTATTGAAAAAGGTCGAGTACGCGAAACCCTTGGTACAAGAGAAAGGAAGACCAAACAAAAGTTAGATGGACCGTGTGAGTGAGGATATGGCTAGGAAGGGAGTAAATAGTGAAATGACTTACTGGGATAAGTTTAGGCAGATTATTATCTGCCTACCCTATGATGTTTATGTTATTACTACTTCCATAACATCGTAGTCCGGTGCCTTTACGCAAAACTTCCTAAAATCTACATTACAAAATAACTAGTAGGTATTACAGTAGTACGTAATTTACAGTCCTTTGAACATAGCCTCTCTGTAAAAATCTCACATGATTAGATAAGTTGGCGTAGGTAATTGGATTGGCTGGTCTTTATTAATTAACAAAATATTCTATATTTCATTAGAATAACATATCTTCATTTCAAATTTCATCTGAATCTGTTCAGCGGTTATAGATTCCCCGTTCAAACTTCCACTCCCCTTTTCACCCCCTTAAAGGATGATTTCTGGGATAAAAACTATTATATGTCCTTTCCCGGGCCCAAACTATCTCTACACCAAATTTCATCGTAATTGGTTTAGCGGTTGAAGTGAGAAGAGGTAACAGACAGACAGACAGACACACTGTCGCATTTATGATATTAGAATGAAAACCCAAGTTTTGAAATATCCATACTCGAAGACAAGATTTCATAGTCCTAGCAATGGTTACAATATTGCCCTTAACAATTATTTAATCAATAATTACTTGGAATCCTGCATACGAACAAATAGTCAATCAGAATAGTGAATGTTTTATTCTACTCTCCTTTCAAGTACAACACTAGGTGCGTACTTACCAAGATGCCCGTCTTTTAATGGCAGCTGCCCTAAAAAAGTGACTTAACAGCACATTTCTTAAGAAAACACGGGTGTTGCAAGTTAAACGAATCAAATCGATTTTTAAAGAGATAAATATTAATAATCGTTTGATGTAATTCATGAAAGCTCTCATACGTAAAGCTTTTAAAAGTAAGTGTTAATGTTTGATTTAACTACTTTATATTGTAATGTTAGGAAACTCTTCATCCATGTGGTGACGGTGTGGTTAAGAATACGCAGTTTTACCAGTTTTTTCCGTTCTAAAGAGAGGCCCATGCCCAGCAGTGGACTATAAAAGGCTGTTGATAATGATGATGACTGTAATATATGTGGTCTTCTCTACTCGTATTAAATGTAATGTAGATGTAGGTCAGAACGTCTCAATTCGGAATTTAATCGAAGGAATACGTATTTGGTGACAATGGCCCAATTGGGTAAAACAGTGAGTATCTAAATTGAGAAAATTAGATATTGGCCACTGTCCATCCTTTGTACGATTACAAAAAAAAGTGTTATTTCGAATCTATTATACTCGTACATATTCCATTCATCTTATGGTTCAAATAAAAAAAGCACGAATTTAAGTACAACATATGTACGGCATATGTACGGTATGTAGAGTTTTTAATACTATCACCTAAAGTATATGCACCGTATATGGTTACTTCGGATTATAAAATATACCTAATTTTTAGCTGAAGTTATTAAATTGTGGTAAAGCAAATATTCTTTGTATCTAAAAATAACGAAGAATAAGGTTGAGTCAGTGTTGTATTATACTGAAACAAACAACCCAGTTTCAAGTGGAATTTTGCCATGAGATAAAGTTATTGCGTAGGGAAAACAATATTTGTTAGATAATTATAATTAGGTTCTTATAATGTGCTATAAATGCCAGAATATCCTTATTATTCGACCACATATAAGACGCCAGACTAAGTGGTGTGAGGGGTCCAACATATGCACAGAAGCACTGATTTAGAAATTTAAAATGTCGCGAATCGTTCTCGTATTCCTGTTACTCTCTCTGGCTTCTGTTAGCCTTGCGCGAACCTTTTCAAAATGTGAACTAGTTTATGAGCTCAGACGACAGGGTTTTCCTGAATATCAAATGAAAGACTGTAAGTAAATATTTATTTTCTCCGCCCCGGCATCACACGGGTGTAGTGCAATGTATGACATCATATCACAAATCTTTGGAATTCTCGGATTTTCTCTACTATAATATACATATTTACCTACCTACCTACCTGCTATTAAACCATACATGGTTTATACAAATCCTTTTTTACAAAGGGTTGAATCGACTTCAATCAAATAATATTAAAAAAGAGCACTTAAAACCTAGCAGTAATCGCGGTTGATTCGCTGTCATTTTTTGAAGAGTTCCGTTGTCTGTCTCCGAAACTCATCATCAGATCTATAAGAAATTTATTTATTTAATATATTTATTTTCTTCTTTTATAGATATGGATTATTAGGCTTGGTATTGGGTATTAATGGTTAGGCGTGACATAATATTAGTGATCATTTGTGAAGGCTGAATATTGTGGATTCGATCCCCACATGAGACACCACTTTGTGTCCACACACATCCACAAATTGTTGTTTTCAGTCTGGGTGTTCTTTGTGTCCTTATCATGTATGTTTGTACAGTCCGCCGCAACACAGGATATATTATTATATTCCTAATGCGGGAGTAATCTTGTAAAACAATAAAAGATTCAGAGGACCAGTAATAATTTAAGCATAAAGTGTGATCACTCTGAGCTGACTGACGAACTCTGATCTAATATCAATATTTTTAACACGAAAAGTTTTGGGAGGAAATTATGAATCATGCTGCGTCACGGTTAGGAAAAATCAACTGCTTTAATTGGATGGATTGGATTTTTTTGGATTTCTTACTATATTGGAAATATCTCATTTACTGCTAATAATATGTCCGATTAGGGTATCTCAACTTTCGTTTCTCACCTAAGTCGTACGTCATATTCAGACTTTAATTTTGATCATTCTTAAAACATGAAAATATGTTATTAGTAATCATTTTTTTTTTCATTACAGTGGTATGTCTGATTGGAGCCGAAAGTTCGTTTCAAACAAATGTAAGAGGTGGTCCTAATTGGGACGGCTCCTATGACTGGGGCCTATTTCAAATAAACGACAGATATTGGTGCAATGCTGGTGGTTGGCCCGGCAAAGGTTGCAATGTAAAATGCAATGGTAAGCTACGTGAAAATTTACATGTAAATGCTAAACTGGGGTGGTTTTCTTATGATATGCTTTCACGCCTTGCTTTTAACTGTGATATTGCTTACATGATGTCAAGGTTGCAAAATAAAGATAGAAAAAACTTTAAGAGTTGAGTTTCTGTTGCTAAAAGGTTCGCATGACAAAAATCTAATGTATGTTTTGATGGTTTTTTATTTTGTCAAAAAGAAATTATGCTTTGCCCAAAAAAGCGATCTGAATATTAAATGCTTCTGAATTTTACAGATCTCCTGTCTAACGATATTACAGCATCCGCAAATTGCGCTAAAACTATTATGGGGTCTCAAGGTTTAGACGCCTGGTACGGCTGGGTCAATCATTGCAAAGGAAGGTGGCAACCGGATCTTCATTGTTAACGTGGTTGTGTTATTTGATTACACACATACACATATAATATATGTTTTTAATTGCAGTCCATTTTTATTAAAAGATGTCTCCTAATTTCAGTTAAGTGGAATTCAATTCCCCCTGCCGACAAAACACATGTAAGCAAAACCTAGCGAGTTTCTGTACTTTGCAATAGAATATGTAGTTTTAAGTCTTGATTATTTTAGAAACGAATTACATTATTTACTACAGTATTTATATAATTACATACTCATTACCCCTTTTTTTTTCCGTGCATGTCGGACTCGAACCGACTAAAACCGCACGCCGTCTCGGGTACTAATAGCCGGGGAACCAGGTATACCCTAGAAAGGAAGTCCCTGGTGCCCCGACATACCTCGGGTCATCTACAGACGAGTAGACGACCCCCCCCCCCCCCCGTATGGGAACCCCATGTTGTGAACCCCTGTGCTCCCTGGAAGCGAGCGCGCTTCGCAACGCGCTCGCCGCCACCCCGGCCTGCTTCTGCTAGGGTGACAGATGGACTCACCTGTCACCCCCAGGCCTGCGCTTATGGAGGACGGAGGTCGTTCGGCGACCTCCGGCGCCTGAGTCGCCTGCGGTACCTAGTCCGTTCCCGGGCCTGGCGGGCCCGGGAGAGTCCTAAACCTATCCCGGTCCCACTCCGCCGTCTCCAGCCGTCACCGAGCAAGTTATGCTCGCGAAGGCTCCACACGCTGGCACTCTGCCAGCGTGTGGAGAGCCGTGTCCACGGTCTGGCCATCGCAGTGGTGGCACTCAGGCGTTGGCTCCTTGCGGATCAGACACAGGTGATCCCCGAAACATCCTTTCCCAGTGATCACCTGCGTCAGTCGGTATGAGAGGGTCCCGTGACGCCTCTCGAGCCAATCCTCCATAACGGGTCTCACCACCGCGATGACGGCGTGCCCGGCGCTCGGTTGCCCGAGTCGTTCCTTCCACTCCCCTATGATGACCTGGCGGAGTTGGGATTTCCGGTCATCGATTTCTCGAGTCTCGGGACACCGACCCAAGTCCCGCGCCTCCTTGCGCCACTTATACAGAGCCGTAAGGGCTCTCGCCTCCAGGTCCCACGGTGGAGTTCCGGCCAGGAGACTCGCCGCCTCAAAGGAGATCGTGCGGTACCCCCTTATGATCCTGATGGCCAGCACTCGCTGCGGTCGTCGCAGTATCGCGACGTTGCTGGCCTTCAGGGCCCCCGCCCATACTGGGCACCCGTAAAGGGCCATGGACCGCACAACCCCGAATACTCATTACCCCTCAGTGATACAAGGGCAATAAAACTTTAGTCCCATAGATATAACATCAACGTGGTAGTTCATGAATACGTACAATACGTAACCTGAAACACTAAAACGTGTCATACTCGTTATAAATGATAGAAAAAACAAAACAATATACCCCTAAATAGCGTTTAAAATAACAAGAAGGAGCAGTACTACTCAGCATGCTTTGACTTAAAAATCGGTGGACGGACTCAGAATAGGTTTTAACTTATTTTGTATATATCCAAGATTAGACAGCTCGGATTCATGATTTCGAGGTGAAATATTTGATAAGTAGTATAATTGCAAAGGCATTTAATCACTACTCTAACTGTTGTGAGTTAATGTATAGAGTGAGTAGCTCTCCTAATTGAGAATTTTACATTCTAAATTTTGATTTTCTCATATTTTCCGTGATAATTTACCTTGAAATTATCTTCCATTACATTGCCTTTTTTTAAACTGACTGATTCACTAACTGATCGATCAACTCATATCTGAAACCGCTGGGTCTAGAAGCATGAAATTTTATTTTGATATATAAAGGATTTTTAAAAATTCCACCCCTAACGTAAAAAAATCGGGTATTGAAAATATATTAGAAATTTCATTATCTTTAGTAGTATCGTTTTCTAACTCAAAGTCATACTCTTTATTAAAAGTAATAAAAAACGTTGTTACTGATTCTTCAAAAATACCTCTAAAAGATGTTAGTCAGTCAGCCAAGATTATAGGTACATGTATAAAAAAAGAATCACACCATGTATCTTCTTTTATTTATTTATTAAGGCATATTTACAGAATAACCACAAACATTAATACACTTAATTGTTTCAAACCAAGTTCACGTGCTACTCTAATTACAAATATGCACAGCATTCATATAATCATTAGATATAATCTTGATTGATTGTATCCTCTACGATGTCTGATGTCGACCACCACGCGGATGAAGTCGCGGGCAAAAGCTCGTTCTTTTATGTAGGTTCATGGTATTGATGATGATGATGGTATTAACATTTCAATTTTGAGTTGAAGTTGAATTAAAAAATTACACTAACAAATAATTATACAATATTTAGGTATTTAATATTTTAATAGTGGCGATTTATCATTATTCTACAACATTCCACTTTCATTTAAAAAACACAACATAGCAATTTAATCAATTAACGATTACGTTTTCAACTTCATACCTTTAAACTGCTTAAGGATTCAAGGTGGCTACATCGTTCTTTGTCTCAAATTGTCTAAATAATAACTAGGTCACCCAGGAAAAACCAACAAACTACATTGCCAGCGCTTGCATTATAATAAACAATTATTTTCTTTGATTTACTTATCGTTAGGTTTATAAATCGAGGATAAATGGTGGGTTATCCCTCGATAATTAACTTTTTACTAAATAATGGGTGAGAGTTTTAATTTTTATTAGAGAAGTTTATAAAGAAAACAAAAGAGAGAGATAGAAATTTCAAGAGTTAAACACAGTTTTTAATCATTAGAAAATAGTCAAATATTAAAAATACTACACAACTAGATACTGCCGACTATGTTAATATTATTTATTTGTATCATATCCACTAATATTTTTGAAGTTGAATATTGTATGGCTTAATTTATCAATTAAAAAATAAATGTAATATTCAGACTGCGTAACGCCTACATAAATACACAAGGCAAAGTTCATAAAGTTGAATCTAGGCTCTGCTCCACCTAAGACCATTTCATTTCGTCACTAGGGCTCGCTAGGCTACTAAGATGCAAGCCATAGATTGCCCACTGGTATGCCACTTAATGAATTGAGGACACTTTTCCACCACACAGGTTGTTAATAGAGATGTTATATAAGCCTGCAGCGATAGGAACTCACCTACTGAAGTGAACGTACAGATTGCAAAATAAAAATCTGTAGGAACAGACAGATAGTGCAGCTAGTCCAGCTATTATCTCTCCACTGCTGCAGGGAAGATTTTTTATTGTACAGGAGGGATACAAGCATATGGGCCACTTGATAGTAAGTAACTACCGCACTACCCGCACATGAACATCTGTTCCTCAAGAATCACAAATGTGTTGCCGTCCTTTGAGTCCTCCCCTCAGAATCAGGGGAGGGAGGGAATTGAAAATGAAATGATATTGCAATGAAATGATGATGACTGAAATGAAATCGGCTCCGGTAACTTCACTCCCTCGGTGAAAAGCAACGATAGAATTACTTGGCACCGCTTTTCTGTGAGGCCCTGGTATCACCCTGGTCTAGACGGCCCATTTGTGCGGAACCATGGCTGCCATACGTTTAAAAGAGAGTTTTGTACGGATTCAATAAAATCATATGATTAAGGAATCAATTAATCACACATGGGACAAGAGGGGAGCCCTGCCTCCAGTTACTGCAACAACTCACTTTTATCTTCAGTGCGCTTACAGTTTGAAGGTAAGGGCTTACTCTACTCGAAATACATATGTACATATATTCAAGAGCAACAAAACAGTTTCACACAATAATACCTGAAAATCTCGAAAGTCAATAGTGCTGGATTAAATAAATTAGTTGTGTATAATATTAAACACACATTAAACATAATAAAAAAATATTTCTTATAAAAAAGTAATAATACTTCTATGTTACTTTAAAAGTAGTATTAAGTAGTTCATGAAAAATTTCACAAAAATAATGGAATCTCATTTAATTTCATAACTTCAAAAAAAATGTGTTAAGCATTAAAAATAATCATTCATTTTTTTTAATATATTAAAAAGAACAATCCCGCAGTTGGAATATATCCTGTCTAGCGGGGACTTTACAAACATACATGAAATGGACACAAAAAACACCCAGACTCAGAACAACAATTTGTGGATCACACGAAGTGTTGTCCCATGTGGGGATCGAACCTACAATACTTAGCGCATTTAAGGTTCGAAATGAATCGCTTAAATGGTTTTACGCCATCTGTGCAGTCAAAAGTTTAAGTTATATCTTCAACTTAAACTTTAATCTAACATCAGTCGGTTATGGTAAGTCATCGAGGCTTTTGAATGACTACAACACCACTCTTAGAAAATGTATGTTGCTAATGATAATTGTTAAACATAACGAGAATTTTATAGCTTAATTAAAATAATTAATGTATCACTTACATATAGGCATGACAGCATAACGAAACTTCATTTTAATGGTATATTAATGTCTTACTTTAGCTTGCTTATACTTTTACAGATTTTTAATAAAACATGTGACAAATGAAACCATAATAAAAAGTAAGTTTCTTTGTCATGATTACACGCCTAAATCACTAAACCAATTTAAAAGAAAAACTTCAGAAATGGAAAGTTACATTATCAACAAGTAACATGGGCTACTTTTTACCGCCATGAGGCAAAAGCGTCTTTGTAGTGTCTTTATAAAACGGATGATTTTCTGAACCTAATAAAAGTTTTAAATAGGAAAAAAATGGTTACAATTCTAAGTTTTCCCTGTGGTTTACTTACGCAAACAACGAGTGAGTTTAAGTGACTAAGAAATTAGGAGTGCAATAACCCTATATACCTAATTGGCTGTTGACTGTGAAGTACCCGCTCCGTAATTACCAGCAGTAGTTTTTGACATTTAATTTATAAATTGATACAAATTGTACGCAATATTTCTTTAGTAATTTTTATTATTAACAATACTAAACAATTTAAATGTGTACTTTAGAAGCGGCTTCCCGTTTAGCTCGAGGTTAGCGAGAGAGCTGTTTGGCACTGCGACCGTCCTTGGACTTAGAGACCTATTCCTAACGGAAAAATCTGCTTTTTTGCTTTAACATCATCATCACATCAACAGCCTATAACAGTCCACTGCTGGACATAGGCCTCTCCATAGAAAGGAGGTTTTAGCCTACTATACCACGCTGGCCAGACGGGCTGGTATAGAGTTTGTTTCAAGTTTTCCTTCTCTTTGCAGTGCTGTTGCTGTCCTGCGTAGGTTGCTCCCTTAGTCGGCACTTACGACACTCACGGGATGAATAGAGTTGGTGACATTCCGTATTCTTAATCCGTCACCACACGGACGTGTGTATGACGGAATAAGACATGATCGTGTAATAAGTATTATTTCGTTTCCTAACGTTCCGACCAGGTTGCACTGGCCCTGGCCACAGGCTGACGCAAAGTTTAAAAGTTAGTATCACTGATTAAGATTTTAAACATTATTACTCGTATATCAGTGCGACAACTAAACTCTATTTGGTATCCTAAAATTATAAGACTTTACGTATAGGGAATTCCGGGTGAAAAACCAACAGGTAAACCGACCAAGAACGTTAAGCTAATTTGTTCCTATATAACCCTCAACCACCCGTCTTCTTCGTCACTTGAGATCGAGCGATCATACAAGTAACTTCTTTTCTTCTACACCTCTGACAATGACGTCCATCATTCCATTATTTTGTTTACTGATTTGCTTAACTTCTACAAGTTTTGCCAAGACGTTTACGAAATGTGAACTAGTTCGTGAGTTGCGGCAACAAGGGTTTCCTGAACATCAAATGAAAGATTGTAAGTAAAACTAATGATCTTAATTTACTAAATATTGCTGTAAAATTTGAAGTTAAACAGACGACCAGCGATGGATCGAAATGCTGTTTTTCATTACGAACATTACACAGCGTTGTGCTTATTTGATGTTCCTCGTGAATTACAGCTGTATACTTTCTATCTTTCAGTGGTGTGTCTAGTGGAAGCTGAAAGTTCATTTCAAACTCACGTGAAGGGTGGACCGAATGTGGATGGTTCTTTCGACTGGGGTCTGTTCCAAATAAACGACCGTTACTGGTGCAATGCTGGCGGCTCTCCCGGCAAAGGCTGTAACGTAAGCTGCAATGGTAAGGAAATGTTTTACGTATGCACAGTAATAATAAGATACTTTGGTGTTGTTATTAAATATTATAATATTTGTCGTATAAATTAATAAAGAATGGAGCACCAGAAATCAGGCTTTATACCCATACAACAAAGAGAACGCCTGCTATATTTTAAACATGATTCCATTAAACTATTCACTGTAATAAAATGTTTATATAAGTCACTATTATTCCTTTACAGATCTCCTATCCGACAACATTTCGGCGTCTGCATCTTGTGCCAAAACTGTTCTAGCACAACAAGGTATCGGCGCCTGGACTGGTTGGGTCAACAAATGTAAAGGAAGATCTCTTCCTGAACTTGGATGTTAACTTGTATGAGCTTCGTATTGTATATTCTCGATATCATCAAGTTATTAAAAAAAAATTAGCAATACATTATGAATTGTGTTAATTTCGACGGGGACTAAGTTAGCCTGAGCTATACTCAGACTTACTCGATCCTAGAGATTAAGATTTATTTAATGTAAAAAAAAATGTTTAAATGTCTTTGGCTTTTTTAGATTACTGCATTGGAAATAGCTTAATCAATATTATTAGTGTTTTGTTTTTGCAACTATAATATGTTTTATCTTCAATAAAAAAATATTCAAATGATTCAGTCTATTTATTGTTGAGTATAGGTTTAGGTGGAACAAACTATTTACTATCTATATACTCTACAAAAACCATATCTTTCATCAGTCTGATAACACGATTTGGGTTAAATGACAAAATTTAGATGGTTAAGAATATTAATATTAGCTCATCTCTTTCTTTTCTCGTTTAACAAAGTGTATTCTCAAATAATTAAATTATATGGTGTATATAATTTTGACGGTAAAAAAACAGATATAAATCTTTAAGTATTTGAAGCTTTCACTAGGTTTTCTTACCTTTAGGGTTTGATATTTTCGAAAATGATCCTCTATCTGAAAAAAGATCATTAATGTGTAAGTTTGCAAAGATATTACCTGACGTACACGCAGAACGCAAACGATACAGTCTTATTGAGTCATTTTTCGTGTTTTACTTTTGTCTGAAATCGGTTAGTAAATTAACAGATTTGTATAAGTCATAAAAGATACTACATAATATAACTTACTATAGTCACGAGTAACATAGAATATGGATGTAAATCCTATTTTCTATAACGAACTACATTTTTATTAGCAACTGGGTAAGTTACCCTATTATTATTTTAGGGTTCCCTTTTATCATCCACGTGGAATAAGTACGAAATGTCTCTAAGCTGGACCATCGCCAAAGAACAAACAAATAACCATAATAAAATTCAACTTTTATATCTTAAATCTCCTGGAGATTATATCAAGTTTCACACCTGCCTTAAAGAAGGTCATGTTACAACCTCTGCTTCATACATTACTAATGTATGACAGTAAGGTAAGCAATCCTTAGGGAACCAGTTTCACAAACTGCTTTTCACAAAAAAATATTTCTAAAACGAGTCAAAAACTATAAATAAGGACAGGTCAATGCCGGCACAAATAAGAGAGTATTTACTCCATTATATAAATAAATAATAGTAAGAAGATATCAGTCATACAAAAGCTTATGTACCAAATTATAATAGCTGACGTTAGCTCCTAGCAAACATATAGGCTCTGAACGCGTTCTGTTTAAAAAACTACGTAGCATGGCGTCCATCATTTGAATATTGATGGCTTCCCACGCTGCGGTTTACATCGGCGGTCGGGAGCTCCAAGAACGCTTCGGCGGCTTCTCAGATCTCGGTATTATTACTGAAAATATGTCTACAACTTAACTACCTGACTTAACTTTCTGAATGCAATTGCAAGATATCATATTTGAAAAATGAGGAAATAACATCGTCTGTACTCATGCAGATGTGAGATAGAAATAACAATGCATGGACTGCGCTGGAGTACTGTTGAATAATGAGACAACATTCTGTCACATCTGCTGCAAAGCTTTTCAAATATATCGTAATTATTAACTACTCATATTTGTAATATCTCTACATATATTCTTAACTTCATTTAAATTACCCGATGGGAGGACCCGCTCATGTGATTTCAGGTCCTCCCCGAATCGAAATCACGCCTAATCAGGCCCTTCCCTGAGGGGAAATGACTACTCCCCTTCAATCGCGTATTAATGCGTCAATCATCTCATCCTCTACCGCAGCAATTAATCTGCCTCCAGAGGTCCCTACTCTCTGGCGGCCCGCGGCCCCATCGACGGCTGGGATCGGCCCTCTCCCGATCTTTTTCAGCGATCTCTTTCTGGAGCATTACAGCTTTAGAGAAAAAGACTACTGCAACCCACCCGTCCTCACCCGCCAGCATGGCAGCCATGATTGCTGTGGAAGACAGGTCCCTTCCGATTTGGTCGACCAGAACTTTGCGTTCAGACGCCTACGCGGGGCAGTCTTGAAGCGTATGCTGATCATAAAATTATACCTAGGGCACCTATATTGCCTTTAAAAAACCAAGATCCAAATTGTCAACGGTTGCATAATAATATAACGTTATAAATGTTTCCTTGCCTGTAGTCATCGTTGGGTTTACAAATGGAGACTTGTCCTCTTCCTTGTGGGTTATTCCTCCTCAATTACCTTTCTACTAAATAATAGGTGAGTCACATTATAAATCTGATGAAAATTCACCTGGGAAAGGAAGAGGATTAAGAGTTAAATTAAAGTTTAAACAGTTTTTAATATTCAAAAAGGGATAAAAAATTAAGGCAAAATAAGTAGATACTAGCAATGTCACTGTTGTCTAATTATTTAACCCTTGACGCAGATCTTATTTACAAACATCTTTGACGTTAAATCTGAAATTATTTCATTGATGCTAAATGGGGATTTCCTCCAGCGTTATGGGGATTTATTGTATTTGAAAGATTAAAGTCTAAACAATCTAAGAAGTGCATTTTGGCAGGTGAAACTGACGATTTTAATGAAACATAAAACAACTGTATTTTAAGTAAAACAATTTTAAATAAGTAAAAATTTATACTAGTGTGGAATGAATGTAATGGGATATTCTTCAGTTTAAATGTCTAAAAATACTTTAAACAATCGCGTGATTCTTTATTTATCTCTGCCTGCTTTATTTTTGTTTTTTAATTTTAGTGTTGTGGCGGTGACATCCATCACAACTCCTTTCGGAATGTTTGAGTTCCCGTTTATGAGTTTCGGACTTCGCAACGCAGCACAGATATTCCAACGTTTCATGGATAAAATTAACCTTCACCTTACCTTACCCGACTTCAATAAAAGAAGGTGCTTCAACCGACTTCAACAAAAAAAGGTACTTTAACCGACTTCATTAAAAGAAGGTGGGGTTATTTTCGTTCGTATCGTTATATTTTAATCGTTGCGGACGTAAAGATTAATCGATTTAATTTTGCAAATCGTATATTATCAACGGACTTGCTAACCAGAGTTCGTTTTCATTATAATTAATTAGTTATTTATAATTTATTAATTTGTTCCTTTCGCTTTAATTTTATGCTTTTATTGCTTAAAATAATATTTTTAAGAATTATTTAATTGAAGAATTAAAGTTTATAATTTTAAACTAAAACATTTGATTTGTGATACGTATGACAGATTCGTATTATGACAAAACAGAATTTGTGATACGTATGACAGATTCGATCTAAAACTACAAAGTGTCATTTCTACGAAAAATGAACAGTATAACTTATTGGACCAAACTCATATTTTTGGATGAAACGTGATTAAATGCGAACCATACCTTGTCGAAGTGTTGGACAAACGATACTCCGTCCTCTAGTACAAAAGTGCCTATTGCGAAAGGTGGCCGATTAATTATTATTTGTCGTGCTGGATATAAATCTATTGCAAAACCTACCTAACCGATGTGTTTTTATCATGGACAATGTCCCTTACCGTTCGGTACAGGTCGATAAGCTGCCAGCAAAACCGAAAAATAAAGCCGAGCATGTGGCATAGCTACAGAGGAAATGGAAGTGGAAATCCGCGATAGCCGGAAATACGGACGTTCCATGAACGAAGATGACGACACGTCCCAGGAGGTCGCTCACTCCGGTCTCGGCTCCTTCAGGCTTCATTTTTTCCAAGGCGGAAGCCTATAGGAGAATGAGGTTTGAGGGCGAAAGTGTAGTGGAAGATCGCGGATCGCGGATCTTCTACACAAAACTGGACTGACTAGACTGGGTAACCGCGTCAGAGCCGACTCCGCTGCCCGCTGCGAGTGGCCGTTTCTCCTACACGGCGATGGTGTTAACATCCATTCCTTTGGTCGATTCGAAGACGGGACTAGCAGCTAAGCTAGCGGCAAAGTCCCCTCTACGTCGGCCCCCTAAAACAATGGGTGATAGGTAGTCGGGGGAACCAAGAAGTCTCGAAAGCAAGGTAAAGAGGCTAGCAAGACCGATGAAGTGTTTTAAATGCCTAGCGACGGGACACAAACGCGTCAAGTGTGAAAGTTATTTTGACTGCAGCAGACTTTGTTTCCGCTGTGGTCGACCGAAGCACAGGGCGGTAGAATGGTCTGCCGATCCTAACTGTCCGCTAATCACCAGACGTGGCAGGGGGCTGCAAGCCTCCCCGCAATTCTTGGTAAATGTCGGGGGCTAGCCAGTCGAACTAGGCTGCTTCCGACGTCATTCCTGCGACCACGTCTTCGCCCATGGAGGAGGTTGTAGAAACGGTCTAGTAATGAACCGAGTCTTAAGAGTCCTTCTTGTCCAGACGAACCTGAACAACTATCTCAGGATCTCTTCCTGCAAACCATAATGCAGGGGTCGATCGGACCTCTCGTTACCGGCCGTCATACGCTCCATGGCCGGTAGTGATAGTTGTTTTATCACGGTCGCATCCTTCTGCGAAGACGTCATCTCCCAGAAGGAGGCGGCGGAGGAATCCCGAGAGGACAACCTCCACGTGGCCCCTATTCGTCGCCGGCGAACCGGGCGGCGGAGGCGCTTATTATGCCGTGGTATCATGGCCGCGGGTGAACTGGACGGGTTTTCCCCTCCACTCGTCATAACTGTCAGCCGCGAGAAGGCGACGTCCGCGTGTGCCGGACGTTGCCTAAATGGAGAATGTACCCGAAGAAGGTGCCTGCGCCATTGCGAGCAGGCGCTATGAGAGGTCCGGATGTCTTAATAATAGCAGTTCCCGGATCTCTCCTATTACAGGCGCAGAGTGGCACACCGTGTGGTTTTAGTCGGCCCGATTCTGACACACCATCCCGCCGTAAACCTCAGTGGGGTGACGGTCTGAGGGGGTTTCCAAACGTAAAAAAAAGGGTTCAGTCGGTGTAGCCGTTTCCGCGGACCCCTATTATGTTCCTCCC